ATACGCAGTCGACCACTCGTGGCTGGTGTGCCGTGGGTGAAAATCCAGCCAGCGTCAAGTCGAACTGCTACGTCATTGGGTTTTAGATCAAAAAAAAAAAAAACTTGGCAGAAAAAGCGCGAACTACACGTCACAGCGAACAGCGCGAATTCACAGCCAAGAACACAAAACGAACAAAAGATCAAAGCCGCAAGAATGCGCGACAGATGACAGATGACAGATGACAGATGACTTGTGCAGTCACAGCGAGGCGAAAGCGAGAGGAAGAATAGCGGTGGGGAACTCGGAAAAAAAAAAAAAAAAAAAAAAAAAAAACGGGTTTGTCTAACGAAAGCGTAGGCGCCCAAACTGAAGGAAATCCAGTGTCTGCTGCTGAGTTTGACCGTAGCCAACTTGCATTTTCCGCCTGCAATCCGCCTCACTTTTTGCTCTCTCTCTCTCTCGCTCTCCCTCATCAACAACAGATCACCCGGCTCCTTGCGCTTGGTCACTTCCGTCAACACACTCGTCGAGCAACAAAACAAAAACAACAAAAGTCATGTCGCAGCCGCCAGCATACTCGCAGTACCCCCAGCAAGGCTACCCAAGCTACCCGCAGCAGGGCGGCGGCTACCCTCAACAGGGCTACCCGAGCTATCCTCAGCAGGCGCAGCAGGGCTACCCGCCACAACAAGGCTATCCCCCGCACCAGAACAGCTACGGCGGCCAGCCACAGCCCGGGTACGGCTACGGGTACCAGCAGCCCGGCTACCCGACCACCACAAACTCAACCACCTACGTCGTGCAGCAGCCACAGCCACAGCAGCAGGTCGTCTATGTCACTGACAATGGCGCCGCGCAACGCCAACGCGAGGAGGACTGCTGCCTCATGAGCATGTGCGCCCTCTTGTGCTGCTGCTGCGCGTTCAACTAAAGAGGCGTCCATTCGTCCGTCCGTCTGTCTGTCTGTCTGTCTGAGCGTTGATGTTCAGTTGTGCACTGTTTTTGTTGCTTGGTTTATTGGATAGGTTGCGTGTTCATGTTGTATTGTTCGTATGCCGGTCATGTTTTCCTTGCTTTTGGGTGGCCCTCTGCTGCTCTCGTTCGTTTCATCCTATTGTTTGCTCTGTTTGTTAATGCAATTCGATTTTTCTTTTTTTTTTGTTTTTTGTTTTCTTCGTGTTCTTCGTGAAACGCTGATGCCAACATCCTGCAACGCAACATCGCTCCGTCTACAATCGGACGCGTTGAACTTCCTCCTTCTTGAAGTCCACGCGCAGGCCCAGCACCTTCAAAACCTCGGAGGGAGTCAGGCGCCATGACAGCTGCGAGTTCCAGTGATCGACTGCATCCTGCACCCGCTCCAGAAGCAACAGCGAGCATATTTGGTGGAGCCGTGTAAAGCGATCGCGCACTGTCTTTTGGGTCATGCCCGAAAAGTATCCCGTGAGCGCTCGCAAGTCCTTGTCGAGTTGAATACCTCCGAGCTGTCCAGCAGACCAACGTAGCGACACTTTGAGCCATCAAGTGCAAGTCATTCTTTTTCTCTCAACTCAACGCATCGTCCACATACCGCATTGAAGGACATATCGAAAATCCGGGCCTCCATCTGCGCGGTAACATACTGCGCAACAATGCCAACGAGACTATCATAGTTCGAGTCTGTCATCATGGACCGCAGCGGCATAATCAGAGCTTGGAGTTCGTTCACAAACGGAACCACGAACGGGTCGGACACGTCGTTGTCGGCAAACGCCTGGTCGTCAATCACGTAGGAAACAGAGCTCAGTGCATCCAAAGCAGTCTTGATACGCGGCAGCAAAGACGCAAAGAAGAATTGCTCCATGGCAGACTGTTGTTTGGTTGGAAAGTTTCGAGCAGCACATCAGAACGACTCCATACATCCAACACGTAGTGAACTGATTGTTCCAAACACTCTGAGGCTTCACCTGTAACAAATGCCGCAGGGAATTGCCAGTGCTGGCCATATCGCTCAGCAAGCTTTCGAGCTTTTTCTGCTCCGACTCAAGCGTGAATAATGAAAGGCTCTCTTGTTCCAGACCTTTCATCAGTTTGACAGTGTACTCGCTGCTAACTTCGGTATTGTTCAGCAAGACCTGCAAACATAAGAATAAGCCCCACAGTGAGAAAATTTTGGCATCCGTGACGCTCATCGTCATGATCAGCGAAAATCGATATCGCATGCACGCTCTCACTCACACACTCTCTCTCATACACACACTTTCACACACACACACACACACACACACACTGACCATGTACGTCGCCCTCAGCGCTGCGGCAGTGCTGCCAACGTCGAACGTAAGGCGTGATTGGAACATTTCCTTCAGGTCGGACGAGACGGACGGGACGTTGGCGCGCAGCTTGGCTTGCAAGTCCGCCTTCAGGTCCGAGTCAATGATGGTGTTGGCGTGGTTGATCATGGCGCACACGATATTAACATTGCCGCTGGACAGGGCGCGCCGGGTGCACTTTTTCAACACGTAAAAGACATCGTCGACACCAGACGAAGTCAGCGTGCCAGGTTCATGCTTGTCCATGGTGATGGCTTTGAGCACGCTGTGTTTCATGTAGAACTCCTCCATCACAATGTAATTGCCGACCAGCTCGTGCATGAGTTTGTTGAGCTCGCACGCGTCCATAAACCGCTCAAAGTTGAGGCGCGCTGAAGCAATGCTGGGTAGCAGGGGACCATTCTGCGACGATAAGGTTGCCGACTCTGCAGCCGACGCGTCTGTAAATGCACGAGTGTCATCCTGCAGGGTTGACCAAGTGGATCCAAAAAACAAAGTGTGAGGGGTCTTGTTTTTCTCAAACCGAGTCGAACAACCCACAGAATTCTGTGACCGTGTGACCTACCTCTGCGTGCTTGCGCATGTACTTGTTGTAAGACTGTGTATGGCTGCTAAAGAGGGCAATCTCAACGAGCTGAATGTCCACGTCTCGAGGATCGATGGCGTCGTTGGTGGTGGCCGACGCTTTTTGCACTCGGGTCATCTGCGCTTGCACCTCCCGAACCTACAGTGCACTCCGACCACGTGTACACAACTTGTCAGGCATTCTGTCACTCACTCAATCAACATTGCTCGCTTGGCCCTTACCTTTTTGCGAAAATCTCGCTCCGTCATGAACACGTTCAAGATTTTCTGAGCCTGCCGATCGCACTCAAACTGTAGCCGGCGGAGAAGCACGCTCAGATACCCAAAGCCATAATGCTCTTCGATAATTGGTTGATACTGGTCAACCGTCTTGGCGACAGCAGTGAACAGCTGGACAAACAAGTCGACAAACACAACTTGGGACAATTTTCCTGTTTTTTTTTTTTTTCGGGGGCGGGGGAGGGAACCAGTCGTTGAAAACTGATATGAGTCACACGAACTGAAAAAAAAACCCAGCCACCTTGCCAAGCACCAACAACTCTGACTTGCCATTCTCGTTGCGTGACAATTCGCGGAACTTTCCATCCAGCAACTGCACCACTTGACCGCAGACAAACGCAGAGAGCTTTTCGAGGCCGTCTTCGTGCAGGTTGATGAGGGGGAACAAGACAAAGAAGCGAGTGATTTCGTCCGTGCTGCCACGGCCCGACGCGACGGCGGAAGCAGCAGCGGCAAACTTTTCGGCAATGGTGACGCGGACAACCCGCTCGGCCTCTTGCAGTGCTTGGACGGGCGATCGGTGCTCGCGGTGGGAGTCGAGCGCACCATCGTCACCAAGAGCGGCAGCAACGGCGCTGGTGGCAGAGGTGGTGGACTCTGCCGCGGAGAGCAACGCCGGATCAATGCTTTGGTACGAGTGAATGTGCTTGGCGGCCGATTCAAAGTCGCCTCTGGCGAGTGCTGACTGCACGCCCTCGACGCAGTTCTTGAGATCGAGAATGTCCTCGACGCGCTTGATGCACAGTCTTACGTTCGACTGCGCGCCGTCGAGCTCGCGCACCTTGCCGCTGACATTTTCAGCCAGCCTGCATGTGAATGAGATTGTTCCGTGTAGCTGTTTGGCGTCGTTCTCGAGCACCTGGAGCTTTGGTCTGTCAACACACAGCAAAACGGGAGGTTGAGTTTAGTGACCAAATAACTTGTTTGTCTGAGCGATTGAGTGATTTTCCAAAGCATCTCAGAAATTCAATCCCAGCTTCCCTCTGTTCTCCTCCAACCAAAGCAAAACAATAGTAATCCCATTGTAATGCTTTCCTATGACACGACAACGCTCTTGCACTTACGCTAGGAATTGCAGCGTTTCGAGCTTTGCTTCAATGCGGTCGCGCTGGCCGAGCAGTGCGTCGAGATCCTGCTCAATGACGACGCCCTCTGCCTCGAGGGTGGCAATCAGCGCATGGACTTGGGCGAGGTTGGTGATGGACTGGACTTGCTGCAGCGACGGCGACGGCGACGGCAGCCCAGCAGCGACTGGCGCAATGGGAGCAGCAGCAGCAGCAGCAGCAGCAGCGCCAGTGCTTGAGCCAGTGCTTGAGCTCGTGCTGGGCGATGCGAGCTTGGGTGCTGATGACGATGATGACGACGATGATGATGATGATGGGGAGAGTGTGTGAGGGCGAAGTGCGGACGCTGCAGCTGGTGACGACGATGATGATGATGAGGTGGCAAAATGGCTGGAGCGATATTGAGATTGAGATTGAGATTGAGATTGAGATGGAAGAGCGGATGGCATGATGCTCAGAATGAAAGACTGGTGGCAATGAAACACACACACACACACACACATATAAAGTCACGCACTTGTTGCTACCAACTCCAAGTCCGAGTCCGGGTTTTGCACAATCGGCAAATGGTTGACATTGTTTGATTCTGCACGGTGCTCAAAATGAAAAGTACTCTCTGGTCCAGCTCCAGACAGCATCACTCATCATGCTCAAACTGGGAGAGTGAGTGCTCTCGAATTCATGAGGAGAAGCACGAACGGGGCTCTGTGGACTTCGGAACGCAAGCAATCGATCAAATCCAATCCAGCTGCTCCTCGCCGGTCCGAGGGTCACTTGCTGGCGAGTAGAACTATCTCATTGACAAGATTGTGTTGAACGTGTTGAACGTCGACTTTTGAGTCGCAAAAAAAAGAAAGAAAGCACAGCAAAACAAGCAAAAAAAAAAAGAGTTACAACAAGCAGTATTCCCGCGTGGTCTCCCACCGCAGTACTAACTACTCTCATGGTGGTTTAACTTCGCAGAGCGGAACGGGATGCGGTGCATTCCACCAGATATGGCCGTAACTGAAGTATAGTACGTGGGCAACAGCTATAGAAGCGACAGGCCTGATTTGATCTGCGGGTTTGGTTCGTGCCCGCAATGTTTTGATGGTTTTGATGTCTCTGTTCTTCCGAACCAAGCTGAATCTAAAACTCTCTTTCTTTACAAAGTGCACTTTGACTGCTACGCGCGGGTGGACAGTCTGAAATCCAGTCACCAGTGCAACGAATCACCACTCGCCAACACGAAAGGGGCGGGAACGGAAACGAGCCGACCAATGACGAATCAGCCAACCACTGCCAACATGTCGCGATCGAAGACTGCTGCCTCTCGTCCGACTCTCCCTCCAGCTTTCGTATCGTGAAGCCTCCCCGCCTTCCAGTGTTCCCTGCTTCGATGTAGATCGCCTTTTGGACGCCGCACGTCGCAACAGCGCCAGCGTCAAATCGTACTTGTGTTTTGTAGTTGTATGGTATTTTCCTTGTTTGATTTGTTATCGACCACTCCTCTTTTCTGTTTTGTACGTCCTCCACCTTCCCGCCCCTTGTTTGAAACTCAACGCACATCCGCAAACCCAAAGAAGCGCTCTACTGCTCTCTTTCGATTCTCTCGCTGCTTGTGCAGTGACATTTGCCTGCCGCTTTGCATCCAAAGTCGAATTTTGTCCATCGCGATTTCGAGCTGGTTCTGTCGTCCCCCCCCCCAACCCCGGTTTCTGATCCCTTGGTGCTCTCTGTTGGCTGCAAACTACTACAAGCTACTCGATTTCAGTAGAAGAAGCGAAGGATTGGAACGAACAGCGGGCTCTGCGACTGGCACCCAACCAAAGCAAAAGGGGGAAAAACCAAAACAAAAGACAAACATGTCTAAACCGCACCGTGCTGTGGTCGAACAGTTCGCGCCGTCTCTAACCGGTGCATTGTTGAGGAATCAATGGGGGAAGTGGTCAACAACCGCGCGCGCGGGCGTAGAGAGAGAGGCGCAGACAAGGAGCACGCTTCGTTACGGAGGCTGGGCCGCATGTCGTGACGCTTCTTCTTGCTTGAGTGATTCACACGCTCTCCCTCCCTTCTTCCACCACGCGGACACGGGGGCGAGTGTTGGTTTTGTTTTATGTGATTTGATGCTCACTCTCTCACTCTGTCAATTATTGTCGCAGATCCAAACACTCAAGATGGGAACAAGCGGATATGCCTTTTGTCTGCTGCTTCTGCTGTTCTGCATGACGAATCACGTCGAGTTGGCACAGGCAGCCAATGCATGTGGCACTGGCGCCGTGTGCGATTGCACGGTGGCAACTGTTGTCACTTGCTCTGGCGGATCTCTCACAGCCATTCCGAGTGGAATCCCAACCGATACCACAAAACTGTAGGTGATGCTGTTTCGCTAAAACTTGAAGCGAAGCATTGCCCTCCTGACTGACGAGCACATGGTCAATAGGTATATCAACTCCAATCCGATCACTAGCATTCCGACCAACGCATTCACCGGTCTTACTGCCCTAACTTTCCTGTAAGCAAGCAATTGACAGAAAAGGCGACGAGCAGACGGCTCACTCGTTTATGACTCCTTCGGTAGGTCTCTCGACTACAACCTGATCACCAGCATTCCTGCTGACGCATTCACCGGCCTGACGGCGCTGACTTACCTGTAAGCAAGCAATTGACAGGACAGGCGACGAGCAGACGGCTCACTCGTTTATGACTCCATTGGCAGGTCTCTGTATGCCAACCCGATCACCAGCATTCCTGCTGGCACATTCACTGGCGTCACTGCGCTGACTTACCTGTAAGCAAGCAAACACATGATGTACCACGCACAACCGGCTCACTCGTTTCTGACTCCATCGGTAGGTCTCTCAGCTCCAACCAGATCACCAGCATTCCTGCTGGCGCATTCACCGACCTGACTGCGCTACGTTCCCTGTAAGCCAGCAACCACATGATGTACCACGCACAACCGGCTCACTCGTTTTTGACTCTATCGGTAGGTTTCTGTATGCCAACCTGATCACCAGCATTTCGGCCAACGCATTCACCAGTCTTACTGCCCTGACTTACCTGTTAGCAAGCAAACACATGATGTACCACGCACAACCGGCTCACTCGTTCATGACTCTATTGGCAGGCATCTTTATGGCAACCAGATCACCAGCATTTCGAATGCATTCACCGGCCTGACCGCGTTGACTGAATTGTAAGCAAGCAAACAAATGATGTACCACGCACAACCGGCTCACTTGTTCATGACTCTATTGGCAGGCATCTTTATAACAACCATATCACCAGCATTTCGGCCAATGCATTCACAGATCTGACCGCGCTGACTGAATTGTAAGCAAGCAAACAAATGATGTACCACGCACAACCGGCTCACTCGTTTATGACTATCGATAGGTCTCTCATCTCCAACCAGATCACCAGCATTCCTGCTGACACATTCACCGGCCTGACTGCGCTGACTTATCTGTAAGCGAGCAAACACATGATAAACCACGCACAACCGGCTCACTCGTTTCTGACTATCGGTAGGTATCTCAACTCCAACCAGATCACCAGCATTCCTGCTGACACATTCACCGGCCTGACTGCGCTGACTTACCTGTAAGTGAGCAAACAAATGACGAATCATGCACAACTGGCCCACTCATTTCTCACTCTATCGGTAGGTCTCTCAACTCCAACTCGATCACTAGCATTGCTGCCACTGCATTCACAGACCTGACTGCGCTGACTTACCTGTAAGCGAGCAAACACATGATGAACCACGCACAACCGGCTCACTCGTTTCTAACTCTATTGGCAGGTCTTTCAACTCCAACTCGATCACTAGCATTTCGGCCAACGCATTCGCCGGCCTGACTGCCCTGACTTATCTGTAAGCGAGCAAAAGCACATGACGAACCACACACAACTGGCCCACTCATTTCTCACTCTATTGGCAGGTTTTTCAGCTCCAACTTGATCACTAGCATTTCGGCCAACGCATTCGCCGGCCTGACTGCGCTGACTTACCTGTAAGCGAGCAAACACATGATGAACCACGCACAACCGGCTCACTCGTTTCTGACTCTATCGGTAGGTCTCTCGGCTCCAACCAGATCACCAGCATTCCTGCTGGCACATTCACTGGCGTCACTGCGCTGACTTACCTGTAAGCGAGCAAACACATGATGTACCACGCACAACCGGCTCACTCGCTTCTGACTCTATCGGTAGGTCTCTGGATTCCAACCAGATCACCAGCATTCCTGCTGACACATTCACCGGACTGACTGCGCTGACTTACCTGTAAGCGAGCAAACACATCTTGCACCACGCACAATCGGCTCACTCGTTTACGATTCCATCTTTAGGTATCTAGGCACCAATCAGATCACTAGCCTTCCCTCTTCTTCATTCACAAACCTGACTGCGCTGACTTACCTGTAAGTACGAACTCTCATTGCACGCATTCGATCCGCTTCTTACTTTTTGCGTACCTGCAGGGTTTTGCAAAGCAATCCTATCACGACTTTGCCACCTGGTCTGTTCAAGGGCTTGCCAAATGACTTGGCGTTGTCGTATTCAAACCCATATCTGGCCCCCAATAACTTTACTTTTGGTGGCAACACTGTTGCTCCGCCCAGCACCTACGGCAGTGCATCGGAACCATACAGTAAGAGTTCGAGATGACCACAATTCCCAATTTGATCACTTGCTGACATTTGTGTTGTAGAGTGTGATACAGCCTGCGCCACCTGCTATGCCGCTGGGTCCAGTGCGTGTTGCGAGACCAATTGCCTGTACTGTACTTCATCGTCTGTGTGCACTCAGTGCTATGACGGTCATGTTATGATGAGTGGATTATGCGTTTCGCTTGCCTCCATCGCTTCGGCTGCCTCTGTTGCATCTCTTGCTTCGGCAGCCTCGATTGCCTCTGATATTTCCGCTGCCTCGGCGTCCGTTGCCACTGTGTCCTCAGCGTCAATTGCCTCGCAAATGTCTGCGTCCGCCGCCAGTGCTTCATCTGTTTGGCAGACATCGGCTGCATCTGCTGCGTCCAATGCTCCAAACGAGTCAAGCGATGCATCTTCTTTGCCCATTATTCTTGGAGTCATTTTTGGCGTGCTAGGTCTTCTCTTGTTGGTTGCGCTGGTTGTGGCCCTTCGGCGTCGTCGCTCACCAAAGGGATTGGCAACCACTAACTCAGCCACCAAACTGCGCGAATCAACATTGGGCTCAGATCCGACTTCCCAGCCTCTTAACGACAAGGGCACTGGGCCGCACTTCGCGAATCCCACCTATGAGGCCTTGTCTGGCAACCACGCCTTGTACGAAGCTGTTGACACAAAGCCCCAGGCCTCGGCGTCGGAACAGGTGTATGCCAACGCATCTCAAGCATCTGCACCCGGCGTCGAGTACGCTGATCCTTCGCTGCCCAATGCCTCGTCTGTCCGTGTGCCGCCCACGCCCTCAACAACCTCTTACGCGACGATCGCCGATGTAGCTTCCACCACCAGCCCGTAATTTGTCGACTCCGCGCCGATCGCTGACCAGCGTGTTCGTTGGTTGGAACTGTTCGACTGCCTCCTTGATTGGATTGTCTTTTTGTCTGTCATTGTCATGCATTCCCCTTTTCTGTCTTCGTCTTGCGTTTACACTCTGATGTTTGTTTTGTTTAATGCCAAATGCATCAACTCGACGAGCCTTTGCTTGCTTAGCAAACAACCAAAAGCCGGAAGCAGCGGTGGCAACACTGCAACGTCTTCAAACGAGATCTAGTCCTGCGGGACCAGACCAACCACACAACCCGCATCGTAATTAAATACGGCAAATTGAGTTGCGCAGTAGACGCTGACGCCGCAGGTCTCCAACGGACAGGGAATGGTCACGTTGGAGGATTGCATCAGCGTGTTGTGAACGTTGGCAACCGTCTGATCTCGCAGAATGCTTTTGCTGAGCTGGCAGTAACTGTGGGGAGACATGTCTGGCATGTCGTACGTTTCTTTCATGGCGTATAGCTTGTCCCACGAGCGTTGAGCAATGGCATCGAGCGCTTCTTCACTCGCTGGCACTGGGAGCGCAGCAGCGGCCGAATTCGCCTTCTCCAGATTAAAGTAGAATGTTTCGTGGTCGAGCAGCTCGAACGAGGTGGCATCCAGCGTGTACACGCGGAAGGCGGGGTTTCTCTTGCCATTCGGGGAGAGCGAGGGAGCCGTGAATACCACATGAACGGGCTCGTCTAGAATCAAGGCTGGTGCTTGTGTCGCATTTCCGGCAGTCAGCTTGTGCAAAACCTCGAAACTATCGAAATGCGTGTAGCCAAACGTCATCAGTGCAAAACTGCTCGGGCTGCTGCTCACGTACGAGACAGCACCTGCGCCGTAGTTGGGCAAGGCTTCGCTCACGCCGGGTGGCAAGTTGCCGACCAGCACAATCCGCTCGCCAGTGGAAATCGCGTCCGTCAGTATCTTGGTGAAAAACACAACTTGCTGCGTAATTTGACGCTGGACTTTTTGAACTGCCGCGTAATAGTTGAACTAGAGTCCCACACAAACGGGGGGGGGGGAAAAGGCAACCAACGACACAAGATGATGCGGGTCAGTGGTGCAGCAAATCATCTCACACCACACCCTCCTCGTCAGAAAGGTCACAAACATCGTGCGCACCCGAACGCTCTGGTATGAGTTGCTAACGAGAATACGAAGGCCGGGACGGAGCACAGCCGAGTACGCTCCAAACTTGGCCACGTCGGAGAGCGCGGACGAGTTTAAAAACAAGCTCCACAGCTCGGTATACGCGTCCAGAATGTACTGGTCAGAGTCATAGTCAAACAAATTGCCGGGGTAGGTGTCATGCGGCCCGATAACGGGGAAGACAGGAGTAGAGGGCATGAACTGGCGAAACAGGTTTGCAACGCGCGTGTTGGCCGTCAACGTTCGATTCCAAGAGCAGTCCCAGACTTGCTCGGGTGCATTGTTGCCTGTCCATAGCACGGCATCGATTTGTCCGTTTGGGGCAGCATCGCCCGTCTGGAATGGATTTCCGGGGTAGGCAAACGTGGCATTGAGGTAGGCAAACAGCGACTTGAGTGTGCGCTCTGGCAAATTGCAGTTCGAATTGCCAAAGTACCCTGCGCGGCCGGAACCAACATCGTACGCGTGGCAGCACACATCGACATCGCAATTCGTCGGTGACCCTGGCTCATAGGCCAGATCGAGATGGATGTCGGTCAGTTGCAGCAGCCGGACGGTGTTGTTGGGAGAGTACGTGGTCTTGCGCGTCACAGACGGCAAGCGACGGTGAGATTGTATGTTTTGCAATGAAGGACGACGAGGGGTTGTGTTCCGGCTGACTGGCGGCTGGTGTGTTGGAGTGGCGCCTGTCGTCGCTTCTGGTTCTGGTTTTGGGGACGCGAGCTGCCCCAAACTCTTCCACCATCGACTGCTCAGCCTTGCAACAACCGAGGAAATCAGATCACTGGCCATGCTGTACAAGGTCGAGCCGAGCTGTCCCATATGACTCGAGACTTTGGCCAGAGAAGGGGCAAGACGACGCCAACGACGATCTTTGGCAGAGTCTGCTGCAGGAAAGTTCCCGAGCTGCTCTTGCGTCGTGTTGAAAACAATACAGTAGTTGAACAGTTCACAAAAGGTTTGCGCATCCAGCGTGGTATGGCGGAGGTTGGCTGCCATCGGTGCTAGATATCGATCCAGCATGCCGTCGCACATTTTGGTCGCATTGAACACGGTCTCCAGCACTGTTGATCAGGTTCAAAGTTGTGTTGTGTTCGAGTCGAGGTTAGCAATGAATTTCAAAGGAGGGCCAGCAAATGCACGCCTTCAGAGTTCGAGACGGTGAGGAAACTCAATCCATCCCACTTGAACAATTGTCCCAACTACAAACGCCGCTTCAAACCCCATTGACTCGACCGTTCACGCTGACTGGGTGAATAAGCTGCACGCCCGCGACATCCACGCGCGAATTGCCAAAGGCGTTTTTCCCTTTGTTGTTGTTTTCTTGGTTTTTTTTTTTGTTTTTTTGCTTTTTTCGAGACTGGCGTTCATCTTCCCGCCTGACGTTCCGCATCTCGTGATTCCAGTCAACCCCCCCCCCCGCACCACCCTCTGGCCCATTCGCATGACCAGCCCCGCTCGTTCAATAACATTGCCGAGTCTTCTTGAAGAAAAGGCGAGGCGTGCCGACGAAACGCTCGTTAGCGACGCAAAGCGAGGTGTGGCCTGGTTGCGCGGCTCCAGTTGTTTTACACAGCAATGGCGATGACGGATGATCAATCCATCGAGCCAAACTAACAACAAATGGTGTCATAAAACCCAAAAACGCGCGTGTCTTTGTTTTCCCGTTTTTACCTTCGACGCAGAACGGGGCAATCGTGCTGCGAAGCGAGTCCAGATCATTCAGTGTGGCGAGCAGCTTCAACTGGGCGAACAAGCTCGAGCATTGTCGGCAGTTCTCTGCCATCTCTGCGACTGTGCGGGAGGTTGGGTTTGGTGTGGCTGGCGGAAGTGGGAGAATGGTCACGTCGATCGAAAAGTTTCGCGTCGAATTGTACGGGTTTTCGCCGTCCTGTTGCTGTGCAGCGTTCAACTGGCGTCTGAGATGCATGTCGCGCCCGCGTCCTGCGCTCCGTCCTCCGACCTTCTGCGCGGGCAGAGCACGAGTTGGTGGGCATCCGACTAGAATGAATGCGACGGCCAGCAGCGCAATTGTCAAAGCCGTCGAGAGGCGCATTCAAGCAACGGGTTGGTTGTTTGTTTTTGTTTGTTTTTGTTTTGTTGTTTTGTTTTTTTGGCTCTTTGCGAATGATTTTGCGAAAAATCGACAACAACAATACAAAAGGTGAGAAGCAGAAAAGGGGGAGGAAAAAAGGAGTGGTGCAGTGCGTTTACCCAAAAACAGATAAAAACGGGTCGGGAATCTTTCCAAAGTGATTGCGTGGACGGACTGCGAAACCAATCCATCGAGCAGCTGCGACCGCCCCGTGCTCGTAGTTTGTTGGATTTATTGATTGCCCACATAGTTCAGAAGCATTTTGCGGCGATTCGGGACTGATCAGCGGGAGAACGCAGGGTGGAAGCGAGCCGTCAGAGCGTTCTTTGCGTACGGGGCGGTGCGTTGCTCGTCCATCCTCGGCCATTTCCAATTGTATTTGCAGTATGCTGTTTATGCTGTTAGTGAGGCGTTGTTGCGCTTCGGAGGCTCACGAGGATGCATGCGTCCACTCGAGTGCGGTCTTGCCACTCTGCGTTTGCTTCTGGTGCATTGTGCTCAAAGTGTGCCGACTTGGTCCGTTCCACCGCATACCTCCAAATTCTCACTTTAATACACTTGACATCATCACACACCCATTCAGCCCCGCCTTTCCGAGCTTGTTTCGAGCGGTTGCCACTTTGCACCGCAACGACCGGCAATTTTTATCATTTTACAGACGCCATCGACTTGCTTGCACTCATCCCACTACTCTAAAAAAATCTCTGCTGAATCAGGCATGATATTAATTGATAATCCAACTATTGCTCAGTCTTTCTCAACGCGAAACGTTGCCGAGATGAAGTTCGGCAAGCAGCTGGACGCCAAGCGGCTCGCCCAGTGGAGCGACTTTTACGTGAGCTATGGCCTGCTCAAGAAGCTCATCAAGGCAGCCGAGCAGCAGCAGCGTCAGCCGCGCACCGCCGGCCAAAACCCCCAGGTACACCCGCTGAGAGAGAGAGAGAGAGAGAGAGAGAGAGAGAAGAGGACAAGGGGGAAAGGTGGGGATAGGTCTAACTAATCCGTAGCAAATCAGCGCTACCCTTTTCTTGCCACTCACTGAACTTTCCCCGTATCGTAGGAGCTTGTTGAGGCGTGTCGGAAGCGCTTCTTCTTTGAGCTCGACCGCGACTTGGAGCGAGTGACTGGCTTTTTCGTGTCGCAGATGAGCGAGCTCCAGCAGCGACTGACTGCGCTGTGTGTCAAGAAGAGCAGCGCACTGCTGCACGAGTCGTCGCATCCACTGCAGCAGGAGGGACAAGCGAGGCCGGCTGGAGCTGGAGTCGTCGGAGATGGAGAATCGCTCAGTCAAGCTCAAGCTCAGGCTCAGGCGCAGGCTCAGGCTCATCATGACCAAGACGACCACGACGACGACCACGACGACCACGACGATGGAATGAACGAGCTGCTCGATCGCAGGCAGACGGCCGACGCGCGAGGCGGACGACGACGACGAGCAATCGACCAATCCACGGTGCAGGATCAAGCACGAGCTGCAGTCAGTGACATTGCCGCCGACGACGAAACCGACCCGACCCCAATCGACGCGGGGCTTCCTGCTGGGCATACTGGCGCAGCGGCGGCGGCGGCGGCGGAGCGAGTGGGAAGTCGAGCGCAGCGCCAAAGCAACGCCAGCAGCGCTCAGTTCAATGCAACCAGTCATTCTGCGGCTGCTGCGACTGCGGCTGCTGCGGCGGCTGCTTCCATTGCAGCTGGCGCCCATCAGCAAGTCGCGCGGCTGTCCATCGACGCCGTCAACGCGCTCGCCAACTCATTTGCCGACTTTATCGAGGTTTGTTCCCTAGCTGTTGCATTGACTCTGCGTTTGGCTCCATGCAAACAATCGCCGTTTCATTTTGATCCTGCTCTTACATGTTCGCTCTTCCTATGCGTGCTGGCCTGGATGCATGCCCTTTGCAGGACTCGGACAAGCTGCAGACGTTCGTGACGCTCAACGCGACTGGATTTCGCAAGATTCTCAAAAAGTTTGACAAGCGCCTTCTCGAGACCAACCAAGAACGATACCTCAGCAGCAAGGTGAGTGCTCCGCTGCTACATCCGCCATCGTGTTCCGATTGTCTGATCTCGGCATAGTTCGCTTGCCTTGGACGCAAAATGTCTCACTTTGTCTTCCTTTTCTTGTTTTGTTCCTCCTTTGCTCACTGACTCAGGTCTACGTCCAACCGTTCAGCGATGTCACGCTGCTTACTCGGATGAAAACGGAAGCAACCCAGCACCTGAACGATCTCCACGCGCTTCAGAGCGGCGGCGAGTTGTCGGACGCTCAGCAAGGGCTGCCAGAGACGCTTCGGCAGCTGTCCACCTCTTTGCTGTCGGCCGTGACCAACCATCACGCCGAGAAGATTATTGACATTTTGGATCGGATGAATAGCGAAATTGTTCGCGAGATTGCGGTCGGAGGCGTTTCGGCCGAGTCGGTGCCTGGCATTCTGCATCGCTGGCTCGCCAAGCCGCTCATCACAGCGTCCCGGGATGGTGCAATCTCTGTCGTCGCCACGCTTCTGGACGCCGGTGCCAATGTCAACAGTCTCAACACGAAGAACAACCGGACTGCGCTTCAGAAGGCGGCTGGTCACGGCCACGACGAGGTTGTTGAGCTGCTTCTCGCTCGTGGTGCGAATGTGCAGCGACAAGACATCCATCAGCGTACACCTCTCCACTATGCCGTCCTGACGGGCTCCACGCGATGTGTGCGCCACTTGTTGCACCACAATGCTCCGCTGGAAATCCGAGACCAGGACGGATTCACGCCGTTGCAGTACGCCATCATCAAAGGCTATCTCTCCATTGTGCAAGAGCTTGTCCAACGAGGTGCCTCTGCTGAGGTCCGCACCATTGAAACGGACCAGGTTGGTAGTTTTTTTGTTCTTCGACGTTCGGCTTTTTTATTTTGACGCCTAGCCTTTTTGCCTTGTTTTCGCTCAACACTTTCATCTTGTCGTCCCGCAAACAGACCTGCCTCATCCTTGCCGCCGAAAACGGCCAGCACGCAGTGGTTGCACTATTGCTGGATCAGGGCGCCGCCATTGACGCTCTCGACGAGCACGGTGCAACTGCATTGCATCATGCCGCTCGAATGGGGCACACCACGACTGTGCGCGAGTTGCTTCAGCGCAGAGCAAGTGTGAACATTTCAGCATCGTACGTCTATGCACCGGCTGTGTTTTTGGCCAATGTTGGATGGAAGACAATGATGGGTTTTCGTTCTTTTTTTTTTTTGTTTTTGTTTCACTTGTATGTTCTGCAAACTTGACACTTGCTAGAACCAACCGACACACTCCTCTGCTGGAAGCCACATGCCAAGGCCACTTTGACTGCGTCAAGCTCTTGCTCGACTATGGCGCACGAAGCGATCTCGAGGATGCCATGGGCTGGACTGCTCACGCTCACGCCGTGTTCCGGGGCCACATGAGAATTGCCCAGCTCTTTTCCGCCCCAGCGTCTGCGTCCGCGGCTAATCGGCTGTCAAAGCGCGTTTCCACGTACTCGCAGACCGTGGACGAAATCGACGGCAGCGATCCTACCATGGCCGCATTCGGCGTCGAGTCGCCTGCCGTGTTTTCGATTCCACGTGGCATCACCAACGCATCTGCTAGTCTGCACTCGCCTCTCACCATGCAGCTGGACGGAATGCAGCTGGATACAACAGACCCTTCTGTGGCCCCATCCTTGGACGATTCCATTCCATTGCTTGCATTGCCTCCACCGGCGTTGCCGTTCAAGCACCATGGCCACACGTACTTGCATCGTCGCGTTCTGTTGCAAATGACGCTGGGTCTGTCTGCCTTCACCATGGACGGCCTGGTTGAGGCGCTTGGGGTTGGCAACGCTCGCCGCACCGTCGCTCAACCGCCTGCCAAGCAACTCCTCCAGCAGCCACCCGCCGTGCTCCAGCTCTTCTCCCCGTTGATGCTGGGTGCCGGAACGCCCAAAGCCCATGTCAGCGGCAAGCAGGATCCGGCATCTTCCACCCCTCAACCCCCTGGTCGCCGTGTGACACCCCAGCATCCCCCGGCCCTGCTCGACAGCGCTGCGACCAATCCGAACGCGCGCACTCACCCAGTAACGCTGCAGTCCGGCCGAGATCCATTCCCAGCAATGCGCATGGTTGTGTCTGTGCCATGCAGTGGTAACGTCCCGCACATGCTGATGCTTCCGCTTCGCAATGAGCAGCACGCCGAAAACTTTTCCTTCCTGGCCGACTCTCTGTCGCAGCTCACAGTGTACATCAACCTGTTTCCAGCGGTCGGCGATCAGCTTGTGGGTCGGGCGGCGATTCTCCCAGCGTCGTTTGCGCTTCTGAAGGGCTCTGTCGTCGCGCCCATCTTCCATGTTGAGACGCTCGAGCTGTTGGGCTCTATCGCGCTCGAGTACCAAGTGGTGACGCCTTTCTACCACCGTGGTATCAGCGCCGGCATCTCATCGCAGACGTACTGGAAGTCCACGCGCAGCCTTGGCAAGCGGCGCTATGCCGGGGCAGCCGCCTTGGCAGGTGCAGGCAATTCCAGTTCCTTTGCCGCGGCCGACGATGATGACGATGACGAGGCCGACAATTCGCTTGCTTCCAGCCGCGGACACTTGTTGCCGCTCGAACGCAGCGTGGTGACTGCAGCTTCTCTCACTTCGCACTACATTGACGTTGAAGTCCAACTGTCACGCGATGGCACGCCGCTCGTCCGCCTTGGCAGCGACGTTCTGGAAAAGGTCTTGCCATTTGCCCTGACTGGTGACAGCGAGCTTGTTCAACAGGTGCAGTCCAAGTTCAAGCGCAGCAGCCAACTGCTCGTTTCGCCCATGCACTTGGACTCGACATCGGCCATCGCTGCCGGCGCCCCGGCATCTGCTCTCCAACAGTGCGTGGAGCAAAGCCTTCCCCATGGATTTTGCGCTACCACGCTTGAGGCGTTGCTGACGTGCGATGAAATTGAACCAGCCGTCGGCTTCCATCTCCATCTGACTCTGCCAGGCACAGTTTCTGCTGCGGAAGTTCACCCAACGGACGAAGGGTTTGACGGCGCCTCCTGGCTTCATTCTGACTTGTCCGCGCCGTCTGCGTGGTCCTCGCGCGTTTCAGCCATTCCGCAGCAAGCTCTCAACCGCTGCGTGGATGCCGTGCTCAAAGTCATCTACGACAACGCAAAGTCGCGTCGCCTCTTGTTCAGCTCCTTCCATCCAGACACATGCATGATGCTTGCATTGAAGCAGCCAAACCACCCCGTGATGCTCGCGTCCTGTGGTGGCGCCGTATTGACCACGGATGCTGTCTGCAATTCAATGCAGCAGGCCGTTTTCTTTGCCAAGTCGCACCAGCTCCTGGGCATTCTGGTCCACGCCCCGGTCGTCGCTCGCTCGCCAACGCTGATTCGGGCTGTGCGAGAGAGCAGCCTGCTACTCTTCACCTTTGGGTCTTGCAACGCATCCCGCGAGGTCCGCGGCACCCAAGAGCTCGACCATGTGGACGGCGTGGATGCATTCGGTGCCGTGCACATTGCGCGACGCCTGCAGCATCACCCTGCCTTCCCTTCCACGGTCGCCACCCCCAGTTTCCGCCGATCCGGCTTGCTGTCAAGCAACAGTTTGCATGGGTCGTCCCTGTTTTCCCAAGCTGGTCTGGTGGATGCCTTGTCAGCAATGCAAGAGTCTTCTCCAAGCTCGGGCAATACTGCCACGGCCACACCAATGACGCTGCTGACCAGTTCCGTTGGCAACTCGTCTGCCTCACGTGTGTCGGCTGATGCTCCTGCTCTGGATGCTCGAGCAAGTGCAGCAGGAGCCGTGCCTGCTGCCCCTCCTGCGTTTGCAGGCTCCATCTTTTCCTTCCTGAGTAACGATTCCCAGTAGTGTTACCATTTGTTTTTTGATTTATTGAAGAGACAACAATCAGTAAACGGTCTAATGTATTTTGTAGTCCAAAAAAAAAAGCTGATTCAAACAACCGCAAATGCACAACTGAAATGCAAACAGAAACACAATCGAAAAAGCAAACCCAAAGGCACTGTTGAGATCAGCCCAGCTGGTTGCTATGATGCCTTTAGCAGTCTTCCGACTTGAGAAGAGCGCCTCTCTCTGCGCGAGTAGGAGTACCCTGTTTGCCAGTCAAATTCTCAAAGTACAGGCGAACTTTCGGGAGGACGTTTTGACGAAGGTCGCTCCATACTGTTCGGTAGTGAATGCCAAGGTAGAGCAGCACATGCACGCTCATGCCAACAAGGAAGCCAACGAACGTGCTGATTTGGAGCGAGCCAGCAGCAGTCGCGATGGTCACAGAGAAGGCGTGTTGGTCACCAAACACTGGTGGGTCGGACTGTCCCACAGCAACACGCGCGGGCGGCGCAGGCGCAGGCGATTCGGGCTCGCCGATTGCAAAAGCATTTTCAGCATTTTCAGCAGTTTCAGCATTCTCAGAGCTCGACGCTGAAGATACCATCGGCTGTTGCTGCCTGGCAGATGATGGCTTTTTGGCAAAGCCGCCACGGGCAGCGAGACAGAGCTCGCAGCCACCCACCGCTAAAAGTGCGCCCAAAATCGAGTTTGGGAAGCTCTGGAAGAGGACCAGCGGAAGATTGCCAAGCGCCAGTGCAGCGGTGCAGAGCACAACGCCAAGGAAGAGGATGGCCACATTGGAGCGCGCACCAAAGCGGTACTGCGCAGCAAGGCCGCTTGCGCCGTGGCACATGGGCATGGCTCCGAGCCAGCTGACGACGAGATTCATGAGCGCCACGGAAAGCGCCAACTGGTACGGCTTGGCCACTGTTTTAGGGAAGAGCGAGTTGGAGAGGCTGCACACGGCGATCACGCTGTTCAGGGTGGTCAGTGGAATCTGAGGCAGCGCCATGCTGGTGAATCCTTCCTGGAAATCGGTGCTATTGAGCGAAACGGGGCCGGGGAAGCGGAACTCAAAGTGGATGGCGCGGTCGTTCCTGTAGATGGCCAGTCCGAGGCCAAGCACAAACAGCACGAGCGCCGTCGGGATGGTCTGGCGCTCCCACAAGAGCAAGACAAGTACGAGACATGCAATTCCCATCAGAATGTTATCAGAGCCCTCCGCCCAGACGTTCGTGTTGTTGATGTAGCCAATTCCCTTCATGGCGAGCGACAAGCCTGTGCCCAGCTGGATTCCTCGGACGACAGACTGGTGGTGTTGCAGAACAAAGGTCAAACAAACCCAAATCCAAAGTGAGCGAGCAAAACGCAAAAGCCTTTCGTTTGTCCGGACAAATGGTCGCAATATCGTGATCCGTGGATCTGCACGTTCCCAGCCGTTCCCCTCCCCCCCCCCAAATCTGTGAGATCTCCCAACAGTAACAGTGCGACGATGCTCGACGGCAACTTGCCGGCACTTCTGCAATTTGGACTTCCAACTGCTGCTCGCTGGCTTGTTTGGTTGTTGTTGTTGTATGATTCGTTTGATACATTGCTTTCTTTTGTTTTTTTTTCTTGCTCTGAGCTTCTTTTTTTTTCACATGTCAAAACCCTAAACATGGCAATCTTGTTGCCTTGTTGTTCTGAGCAACTGAGCAACGCATCTCAACACACTCCTCGACGCTACGGCGACGGCGACGGCGACGGCGACTCACCTCTGGGACGAGCCAGTTGACGACGTCTATCAGCCTGGTGATGCCGAGGAAGCCGACGACGGCGCTGGTGAGGATGCCCGCTGCGTAGATCTGGCTGGCGGGCAGCGACTGCGCAATGGCGGCCGCTGCGATCGCCTTCATTGGCTGCACTGCCATCGGAACCTCAAACATGAATGCAGTGACAATGTTGAACACGCCGGCAAAGAAGACGGCCGCGGTAAAGTCGAGTCCGCACGTCACGACGAGGCCCAGCAGCAGCGGGATGAACGTCCCCACGTCGCCAAACGCACCAGAGTACTCTCCAGGGTTGGATGCATGGGTGCGTATGCCGTTCAGCCACCTGCGCGCGGCGGCGGCGGCGGCGGCATGAGCCACTCCCATTGCCATTGGCGTCCAAACAAGAGCGTGAAAAGAAGGAGTGGCGTCTGAGAAACTAAGAAGTGGAAGAGCGAATGGAAAGGTGCAAAAAATGGAAACAATGCATGTCGATCGAGTTCAGGGAAATTCTACTCGAGAAAGTGGGAAATTGGGAAATTGGGATGAGCGACGGACCGTTCTGAGGCGACCGTTCTGATCTGAGATTTTGGTGATCTGCTGCTGCTGCTGCTGCTGCCGATTGTGATTTGTCCTGTTATTGAGTGGAACGCGCGGGAATTTGCTTGGTTGAGATGGGATGAGTAGTTGGACGAAGCGTACGCAAGCAAAGAAGGATTGATTCGGTGGATAAAAGTCATCACAGGAAACACAACAGTGCTGGAGCAAATCACGAACAACCCCAAGCACAAGAGCGACTGAACACATCCATGACGCCAAACACTTGAGGTGCAAGGAGAATGTGCTAGCGAGAATACGAAGGGCAGGTCGCTTCGAGGTTGGCCCACGCAGCATCAAACGCAGCCACAACCGCATTGTCCAGCGGACCAGTTGCACAGCCAGCGAGGTTTTCACGAAGCTGCTCCACCGTAGATGCGCCCAGAATAACGGCATCTAATCAAGCAATCCAATGCAAACAAACGCAGAAACACAACCGATCAGCCGTTTGCCCAAACGTTGCTGTTTGTTGCAACAGCTTGAAAACAAACAAACCTCCGTGATCGCCAGAAAGCACAGAGTGATGCAAACACCAAGCAAGCGCAGCAGCAGTCAACGTCATTCGGCCATCGGGATACGAGTCTGCAATGGCAGCCTTGACCTTTTCCAGAGCGTCAAAGTTCTCGCGCTTCCAGTAGCGCTCGCGATAGGTCTTTGCCCACGCGCCGTCATTGAAAAAGCGGCCAGCGGGTTGGTTGACCGTGTCTTCATACGTGTATCTGCCTGTCAAGAGACCGCCGGCAAGCTACAAAGCGCAAAACAACAAACAAAAGATGAGCCCGCGCTGGTTTGTCACTTCTCTCCCCTTTCGTTCCACTGCTCACTGGATTGTAGATGTAAAAACGGATGTTGAACTCGCGCAAAACCGGCAGTAAATCCTTCTCCACTTGACTGTCAAAAGAACGATGAGAGAGTCTCGTAGTGAGCCAGATTGTCGCATTTCCTCGATTTTGTTTGCGTTCGTTCTCACCGAGTGATGGCATTGTACATGCCCTGGTACACAGTGGGAGCAATCCAGCCTCGTGCCTTGCATATTTCGACAACTTTGCGCTATAGCCCAAAGAGTCATCGATGAGCAATGCAGCACAAAGCAGCTCGTGGTCAAAGCGTTTGCACGTACAACAAGCTCGGCGGAATAGTTGGACAGCCCAAGCTCGGTAAACTTGCCGGCCTTGTGCAGATCGTTGCACGCCTCGAGCGTCTCTTCCAACGGCGTCTTGTGGTCGGGAGCATGCAGATAAAACAAATCCACCGAGCTCAACTTGAGACTTGCGAGCGAAGCATTGAGCTGCTTGGCAACGCCAGCCGCGGTCAAGTCTGTTCCAGCAAGTCACGCCCGATTGTTACTTAGCGTGTTAGAATGACCTCAAATCCATTGCAGATGCAAGCCAAACATATCACACAACCCAGGATTTACCGTTCGGCTGCCATGGATTGGCTTTCGTCGCAATCTTCGTCTGATCCGTCCGCGCATAAAATTCAAACATCGTCCCAATTTGTTTCCAAATAAGCAAGGCATTATCACTATTGTATTGTGGTTGCCAGTGTCTCTGAGCTTCTCAGACTTTTGGGACCTCACCTTTGCCTTGTCGTGGACGAGCGGCATCTGGCCCAGCAGCACCTCCGTCTGGCCATCCGCGTACCTGCGTTTGTTGTTGTGCTCCAGGGTTGAGTGACTTGCACCACCATCCAGTCCGCCACGCACGGTCCGGCAGGGCCAAGGCTCCAATGTAATCCCAGCCAGAATCGAAACCTTCCCCCAACAGCCCAACCCCGACCCAAGCCCGATTGCGGCCTTTAGCGGTTTGATCGTGTTGCTTACATGAGCGCAGTGTCGAGCTCGGAATGGCCAGCGTTGACAAACACGTCGATCGCGGCAGCACCCTGAAATTTGTGTCAACCAAAAACAAAAGGCTGTCAATCTCAGAATTCGAGACCATTCCAACTCTCTGATTGCAGCAAGTGCATGTACAGCGGCTGCAGTGAGGCGGAGTCCGATTTGCATCGTCCCAAACACAAGGCGAACGGGTGCAGCCGACATGCTCAGAGATTGGAAGAGTGAGTTTCAATCTCAGATTTCATCGCAATCTCAATTTCAATCTCAATCTCAGTTCCCTCAATCTCAGATGTCATCCCAACCTCAGTCTTAGTCTCAGGCCTTGTATCGTCTCAGTCTCAGATTTCAATCTCAATCTCAGTTCCCTCAATCTCAGATTTCATCCCAATCTCAATCTCAGTCTATTTTTCTTTTCCCCCAGTTGTTGGTGATACTTGCAACCATCACCATCACCATCACCATCAACATCAGCTGCTGCTTGTTTGGATGAGTCGAACAACGCGTGATCCGCTTCGGCTTCGACTTCCGCTTCGGCTGACGCTGGCTGTGGCTGTGGCTATGGCTATGACTGTGGTCGCCGGTGCATCTGCTGCCTCGTCGTCGTCGTCGTCGGCGGTGCCAAAGCGCACCGTGCATGGCGAGTGCGCAGTCAACTATCACGGCGCGTGCAAGTGCACTGTGGACGAGTGCGATGCCCCAGAGCCCCTCGGCACCCTGGCAGCCAACGACATTGCCATCTACTCGACCACCCTGTGAGCAAGCCACACACACATACAAAAAGGATTATCCAAAAAAACCGTGAGTGAGGAGTGATTGAGGAATCAGAGCAGAATCAGAGACAGCGACCGCTCAGACACGCTCAGACACGCTCAGATTGCATTGAGTTTTGATTGAAAACAAAAAGATAGCCATTGAGCTAATCGTCGTCATCAAAGTCAATCGAGAGGACCGCAGTCAAAGCCTCAATCCTTCCATCAAACCGGATTTTGATCGAGCTGCTTTGAGTGGCAATGCAACAGTCCCCATCGACAGAACAGGGTCAATCCTCGTGACAGAATCAGCATCACTTGGCTGGTTGTTTTGTTTGATTGATTGAAAGAAAGAGCAAAGTTATTGTAATTCTGAGCAAATTCTGCATCCAAGCGTTGTTCTCAGTGTTTTCGGCTTTTGCTTGTTCGCAGGTCGGGCGATCGCCTCAAGCGAACCGTCAAGAAGTTTGATGCAACGGCTACCACATCATCCACAGTCAAGGTACACACACACACGCACACACACACACACACACACACACACACTCGACAGAGTCAAATTCATGCCTCATGATGCCTCATTCTCAAACCCAAACTTCTCGCTTGATTTGTTTCAGATCGGATACGACACACCGCTGCAATCGATTGTTGGCGTGGGCACAGCGTTCACGGACGCCATGGCTGTCAACGTGGGTGCCATGACCGCCGACATCCAAGAGCTCATCTTGGAAAACTACTATGGCGCAACGGGACTCGGCTACGCCCTCGGACGCATCCCGATTGCGAGCTGCGATTTCAGCACGCACATGTACTCTTACAACGATCTGTACGGTGACTACCAGATGACCAACTTTAGCGTCGACGTGGACGTTGCCAGCGGCAAGATTGGCATGATTCAGAAAGCGCTCAGCCTGCGCCAGGAAGCGCTGCAGGCCGGTTTGTTTTCGGCGCCGCTGGGTCCCATCGACGACGCTGCCCTGGGCCCTGTCGGTGTGCTGACCAACAACCACTCGATGGTGCTGTTTGCCTCGTCCTGGTCTCCGCCGGCATGGCTCAAGACGACGCAGAGCCGCGTGAAGGGCTCGCTCAACGGCACCGCTGGTGATGCCGTGCACAAGGCGTATGCGCTGTATCTTTCCAAGTTCCTGGACGCCTACGCTGCGCATGGCATCGAGGTGGCTTACCTCAGCATGCAAAACGAGCCGTCGATGTCCGTCAGGTGGGACTCTTGCTTTTTCTCGCCCGTGACGGAGCGCGACTTTATCAAGACCGACCTCGGCCCGCTCATGCGGCAAAACCACCCCGATGTTGGCTTGATCATGCTCGACGATCAGCGCCTCGAGATGGATATCTGGCTGGACATTGTGCTGTCCGACGCCGATGCTGCCCAGTACGTGAACGTCACCGGCATGCACTGGTACTCGAGTGCCAACGATGTCCTCGACGAGTTCCAGTACCTGCGCTACGCGCACGACAAGTACCCCAACATGCTCTTGCTTGCGACGGAGGTAATGCAGAGGCTTTTTTTTTTTAATTGTTGTAATTATTGTTTTGGTTTTTTTTTGGTACTTATTGCGCTCTCTTTGTTCCCGCAAAAAGGCATGTGCTGGCGAGGAGGTCATCGACCGTGGAGTCGTCTTTGGCAGCTGGTACCGCGGAATCACCTACTTTAAGGACATTTCCGGCGACTTTAACAACTGGGCGATTGGCTGGACTGATTGGCCAGGTTTTGTGCTTTTTTTTTTTTTTACTTTGTCCGTGTTAGAGGAGGAGGCGAATGGCGCAGCTCACACACATGTTTCTTGCTGTAATGCTTTGCTTGGCACAGGCGTTGTTGACCTCCAAGGCGGTCCGAACCACGCTGGTGAGTTTTCGTTTGGATTTCGGTTTTTGGGAAAGTTTTGTGTTGAAATGGTGGCCAGTGATTGACGTCTTGCTTCTCTTTTGCCCCCCCCCCACCTCTTCTCCTCTGTCCTCGCTTCTACTCGATTCTGCAGGTAACTGGGTCGACTCTGCCATCGTGGCAAACACGACCGCAGGAACCGAATTCTACAAAAACCCTATGTTCTACGCGCTGGGCCACTTTTCGCTGTTTGCTCCCGCCAACTCGTCGCGCCTGGAGGTGACTGTGCAGTACGGTCCAGACCAGCCCAACACGCTCAAGCTGGAGATTACCGCATTCCTGCGACCCGACGGCCTTGTTTCCGTCATGATTGGCAATACGGACGAGATTCATCCTCGCGCGATTTCCATTGCGCATCCGACCCAGGGCTACATCAACCTGGTTGTTCCGAATGCGTCCATGCAGACGCTGGTGTTCAAGCTGTAGAGAGATTGGTCCTGGTGTGTGCACAAAGTACAAAATGCAAGTGTCTTTTGATGTTCATTTGCTCTCATTGAAGCGACGCCATTCTTCCAACACTCACAAACGAGCATGGCAGATGGCAAGCAACAGCGTCTTGTTGTTGGCAAGCCGGATTGCCTCTAGATTCGGAGACGGGGGGGGGGCGGAGAACACAACACTGTCTCGGCACAGTAGTCGCGCCTCGCGCTAAAAGTAACAACTCCCAAATCAAAAAGTGCCGCCTATTCTATCATATTACTTTGTCAGAGGGGGCACTGCTGTTACGAATGAATAATCAACAACCTACAGCAGAGGACAAGGTAGAAGAAGACATTGAATCAGACGACGAGTAGATCGCCATTGGTGTTTTGTCTGTCGGGGTGGCCGTTTGGTATCAAAGCAAAGAAGGCGACACAGGCTTCACAACCATGCACAGCAAGTCGTCCGCCCAACGAGCATCGAGAATGCCGATGAACTTTACAATTGGCTTTTTATTCTCAGAGCGACGTCTTCAAGATACAATACAGATGCTGAGAACGCATTGCAACACACGAAAGCGAGGAACGCTTGAAGATGGCTCAAGAAGCCAGAAACAAGGGACGGCCCTACGGTCTCGTGCAGTTCAGCAGGGCAGCCACAGAGCGCTGAACGTGGCGCGAGTGAAGGGTGTAGGTCTCGTCGGGATGGTAAGCGAGAATGTTGGTGTTGGTGGCGAGGAGCTTTTTGGTGAGGTCGAGACCAAGAGCCTCCTCCACATCATCGACATGCTGAGCACCTCGACAGAGACGACAAAAGGTGCTGCTCACGGGAGGCGATATCTGCGCCAAGTCGCCGAAAAGTCGACGCAGGGCACCTCGAGTGCCAATGTGGAACTCCAGAAAGATCTGTTCCACAGTCTTGAACAAAAGGTCGTCTGCTAGATTGTTGAGCAGAATCAGACGCCCACCAGCAATCTCAGCGACCGCACGCTTGGCCAAATCCTCGTGGATGTCACGACGCACCAGATATGTGACAGCTTGTTGGTCGGTGAGATCACCCACTTCAACAACGCGAGCACGAGTCATTGCTGACGATTCCTTGAGCTCAGGCAGAGTCGAACCATCGCTGGTGACGAGAACAACATTGAGCAGCTGCTTGTCAGCAGCCGCCTTGGCAAAATCTTGAATCACATGCAACAGTGCTGGACCCTGCTGGGCGATCTCGTCCACAGCGTCGATGACCAGCGTGGCAACGTGACCATGCTTGGCCTTGAACTGTGCGGCGACGTCCCGAAGACCGAGCTCGAGTATCGCCCAGCTCTTGAACGGCTCTTCTGCCGATGTGACTTGCTCCATCTCAACACTACGGTCTTTGAAGTAGCCTGCTGTGAAGGTGAACCGGTTGAACGCGAACGCGAGAGACCCCGCCAGTCGTTTCGGCACATCAACGGGGAGCTCAGCGCCGACGATGTGGTAGACAATGCCAGTGCTGTTGGCTCGGATGGCGTCGAGGACGGCGGTGGTCTTGCCGCAGCCTACTTCGCCAATGACGACCGTGTAGTCCTTCAACAGCGCGGGGCGCAGCACCCCTTGAAGCATAGCAACGGCCTCTGGACGATTGACGTGGTATTTCTCGAAGGGCGGGATCACGGAGCCGGCCTCGAAGCGAGCGAGCATGCGAGCTTGAACGATTTCGGGCGAGTGGGTCTTGGCGTCTATAATTGTCTTCTTGGCGTCCAGCACGTGCTGAGCAACAAAAGCCGCCACAACCAAAACGATGAATGTGGTGGAGACCGCCTTGGCGACCGCGCCGCCGATGAAGCCGAACACACCCCGAAAAGCTGGCTGCTGCTGATCCGGGGCCGCCGCTGGAGCCGCCGCTGGAGCCGCAGCTGGAGCCGGAGACGACATCGGGATAAACAGAAAACAAAACAAAAAACTGCGCTCAGCGTTGACAATCCATTGTCAACCCGTTATGAGTTGAATGATTGTATCATTGTTCTTCCAAGACGGTCCTGATGATGCTGCATTGTGCCGCTTTTCAAAGCGGTCTGAGTGTTTCAACTAGACAGGTGGCTTTTTCCACCAGAGCCCGTTGATGATTTGATGATGAGCATTGGGACATTGAGGTCGATTCACTTGTCCCTCTTTTCGCTGTCAGCGAGGTCGAGATGCCTGTGGGATTTGTTCATCTTGGCGGTCCTGTAGCGCGACTGACATGATGGTGTGTCCCGCGCGCCAGGATTCATTGAGATTGAGTGAAACGACGATCGAACGCACTTCGCTCCAATGATTCCTGACCAACGCTCCGTTTGAGTTGCTTCATTTTGCACGCAACTTTCTGAGCAGTGTTTTCGTTTTTGATCCTTTCAAAATTGCAAAAGTTGCAAAAAACCACTCTTTTTCAATTTTTTTTTGGTTTTTGAATTTTTTGTTTCGCAACTCAAACACTTTTTGCACACTCAACACAATGCCACCGAAGAAGCGCACCGCAAAGTCCGCCAAGCTCGACGAGGAGGACGAGCCGCAAACCACCACCACCACTGCTGCTGCTGCCAGTGGCGCGGGTGGTGCTGGAGCGCCGCGCGATCTCGCCTCGCTGAACAAGCTCAAGGTAAAGATGGAAAAAACAAAAAAAAAAAAAAAAAAAACTCAATGGAAAACTCAATAGAAAAAAAAAAAAAAAAAACTCACAGTGCAAACGTCATTGATTGCAAACTGTTTTTTGGGTTTTTTTGCTTTTTCTTTGCATTTCTTTTCTTTTCTTTTCTTTGTTTGCCTTCCCACTCGTTTCGCTCTTCTTCCTTCTTCCTTCATCATCATCATCGTCATCATCGTCTTCGTCTTGATTCGTGCTTTTGTGTCTGTCTGTCGTTGAAGCCGTCGATCGCAGCGCAACCTGCAAAATCATCAGTTTCTTTTCATTTTTCTTTTTTTTCTTTCTTTCTCCATCTTTCTTTCTCCTTCTTTCGTCGTCGTTCTTCGTTCTTCGTTCTTCGTTCCTTCTCCACTTTTGTTCACTTTTCTTCACTTTGCTGCACTCGTTTCGTCGCTCGTTTTCGTGATTCAATGCAAAGTCGATCGTCGCGCGAATCGAACGTCAAAAACAACAAACAAACAACATACAAAAAAAAAAACAAAAAAATGCCATTTTGTTTTGTTGAAAAAAAAAATTCAAAATTGAAAAAAAGTTTTTGTTGATTTTTTTTTTCTGATTTCGAGTTTTTGACATTTTTTTTTTTTTGATTGTTGAAAATACGAAAAAGAAAACAAATGAGAAGAAAAAAGTTGCTCAGAATGAAAATCTTGCAAAGAAAACTCAGATTTTGAAGTGATTTCACTTTTGAAAACCATCTGAGAATGACTTTTGATGCAACAAAAGCAGAGTCTGGACTTGTTGCTCAGATTCTGAGGTGATTTCACTTTAAACCATCTGAGAATAACCTTTGAGGGGCTTTTTTAGTCAGATTTTGAGACAATCACCATCAAAATAAGCGTTGCAACTGACTTTTTGAGCGAGTCTTCGCGTTGTTGCTCAACTTCTGAGACGATGGTCGGATTTTCATTTCACTGACTCTCTTTCATGCTTCCCTTCGAAAAGGTCGACGAACTCAAGGCCGAACTCGCCGCGCTCGGACTCGAAACCGATGGCCGCAAGCCAGAGCTCGTTGCGCGCCTCTTTGATGCCAGCAACCCCAAGACTGCTGCTGCTGCTCCTGCTGCCGCAAAGGGCAAGGGCAAGGCCAAAGCCGAAGAACCCGCCGCTGCTGCTGCTGCTGCTGCCGCTGAACCCGCCAAGCGCGGTGCTGGACGCGCCAAGAAGGCCCGCGTCGAAGCCGACGACGAGGAAGAAGCTGCTGCTGCTGCTCCCGAGGTCAAGGCCGAGCCCATGAAGGTCGAAGAAAAGAAGCCGCTGAAAAACTCGGAGGTGCTCGCCCAGGCCGCGGCTGCCAAGAAGGCGTCGGGCGCTGCGCCCGCCAAGGCCAAGGTCGACGAGCACGCGCTGCGCCAGGTCGCTGGCGTCTCTGTCTACAACGACTACGACTGCATGCTCAACCAGACCAACTCGGCCAACAACAACAACAAGTACTATGTCATCCAGCTGCTCACCAACGGCACCTCGTACTGGACCTGGAACCGCTGGGGCCGTGTCGGCGAGCCTGGCCAGAACGCGCTCAAGGGCTTTGGCACGGGCCTGGCTGCGGCCGAAAAGGACTTTTGCGCAAAGTACAAGGACAAGACGTCCAACACCTGGGACAACCGCGCCAACTTTGTCCCGCGCGCCGGCAAGTACACCCAGATCGAGATGGACTACGAGGAGGACGACGCGGACGCCGTCAAGCAGGCCGCGCTGAACAAGCTCAACGCTGCCGCTGGCAAGGCTGCCGCGGCGCGCGCGGCTCCCAAGGTCCGCCCGTGCACGCTGCCGGCCCCCGTGCAGTCGCTGCTCAAGCTCATCTTTAGCAACGACATGTTCAAGAACGCCATGCAAGAGTTCAACATTGACATGGCCAAGATGCCGCTCGGCAAGATCAGCCTGAGCCAGCTCGCCAAGGGCTACCAAGTCCTCGAGCAGCTCCAGGACGAAATCAACAACGGCGCCTCGGGCAGCAAGCTGACCCAGCTCTCCGACCAGTTCTACACGCACATCCCGCACTCGTTCGGCCGCACGCGCCCGCCCACCATCAGCAGCGCCGCGACCGTGCGCGCCAAGATGGACATGCTCGATGTCCTCGGCGACATTGCCACCGCCCAGGCGCTCCTCAAGGCCCAGGACGCCGAAGCCGAGAAGGTTGCCGAGACGGTCGAGGAGGTCGACGACCCGCTGACCGTCAACTACAAGGCGCTCAACGCCTCGCTCGTCCCCGTCGACCGCAACTCTGCCCAGTTCAAGGCCATCGAGGCCTACACCAAGAACACGAGCAGCCATCCGCCGCAAATCCTCGACATTTTCGAGGTTGTTCGCGAGGGCGAGGAGAAGCGCCACGACGTGCACAACGCCATCAAGGAGCGCAAGCTGCTCTGGCACGGCACCAACGTGGCCGTCGTCGTTGCCATCCTCAAGTCTGGTCTGCGCATCATGCCGCACTCTGGCGGTCGCGTCGGCGCTGGCATTTACTTTGCCGACATGAACGAAAAGTCGGCCGGCTACGTCCGCTCTGCCGCCGACCGCACCGGCATCATGTTCCTCAACGAGGTTGCGCTCGGCAAGGAGCACGGCATCTTCCAAGACGACAGCTCTCTCCGCAAGGCGCCTGCTGGCTTTGACTCGATTGTTGCTCGCGGCACGATCATGGTGAGATATAGGCAGTTTGTGTTTGGTGGCAAAAGGGAGCGTTCTGTTTTGCATTGTGCGTTTTGGTGACTGACCTGACCATTGTTTTTGCTCAAACAGCCAACGCCCGCCAACGACACAGTGTTCAAGATTGAGGGTCGCGACGTCGTTGTTCCTCAGGGTCCCCGCATGAACACTGGCCACCAGTCTTCGTTCCACCACAACGAGTATGTGATTTTGGTGTTGCTGGTGTGGTGGTTGTTTCAGATTGTTTTGATTGTGGCGCTCACTTTGTTGTCTCTTCTTTCCTCTCTCGCTCAGGTACCTTGTTTACAACGAGAGCCAGTGCCGCATTCGCTACCTGCTCAAGATGAAGTTCTAAGCAGCATCTGTGATCTGGAAGTTGTTTGACGTGCGTCGTTCAGAACCATCGTTCATGTTGTCTAGCTTTTGATGTTTGATTGAAAAAAAAAAAAGAAACTCTTTCTCGTGTGTGCAAATGCATCTTTTCAGGGTGTTTATTGTTTCTGTATGGTTTCCATTATTCAGTCTCAGAATCCGCCAACACTTGAAATCTGAGAAAACTCAGTCCTTTTTGTTGAATCACTTGCGCCTCCCGCTCCTCCCTCTCAGCGTGCGCATCACAATGGCTGCAGTTGATCGCCGCTATCATCATCGACATGCACATTGCGGGACTGTGATGGTGGACCGCGCATGGACGTACCTCACGTCCTCGACGCCGACGACGGGTTTGCCGTGCTGCCAGTCCCACCGCCCAGATCACCGCAGCCCACACCACGATGACGATCAGCAGGGCGACCATACGTCCACCGTGGCGACGAGCAAGACCAGTCGCAGTGCATTGGGACGCGCGCGCGATCGTCTCAACGCGTGGATTGACTCGCAATCCGCGCCCGACAACGCGCAGGCTCAGCCAGGCCAGTCGGATGCAGCTGAATCAGCGCGCCGTCGTGCTGCCGAGATTGCTGATAACAGTGGTCGGCCGTCCGGTCGGAAGCGGCGGCGCAAAGTCGATCCGTGGCTGGGCGACGTACACGTAGATTCGGATTTGGAAACAGTCCCAACATCCCAGTTCCAGTCATCGGTACCAAGTGCAATACATGTATCAGGACCAGCGAGAACATTGAGAACATCAAGAACAAGCGGATCGGAAGATGCTGCAAAAAAGCATGCTGAATCCGGGTCGCAGGCGCAGTCGGATTACTCTGATACACTTCCGCTGAGCTATGACAATGCCGAGCATTCAATGCTGGATCAAGATGAAGAACAAGATGATCAGGATGGTCGTGATGATTACGACGACAGAATGCGCTCAAGTCACAGCCATGCTCAGGACAAGGAGCATCATCATCATCACCAGAAAGTGCCAATCCACGTTTGGGTCATTCTGTGCCTCGCGCTGGTCGCGGTCTCGTCCGCTGGCACTGCTTTCAAGCATATTGACGATGTAACGCCGTTTTTGCGCGCGTCGTGGCGCTTGTTTGTCACGTCGCTCGTTCTCCTGCCGCCCGCCGTCTTCCAGTTTGCGCGCGCCGACGCTTCACTGCGTGCACAGTGCCTCAAACCAAGCGCCTTGCTTGCGATTCTGTTTGGCGGCATTTGCCTCGCCTGTCATTTCGGCTCGTGGGTTTGGAGCCTTGACAACACGACGTTGGCGCACTCGTTGCTCCTCGTGTGCATGCACCCCGTTATTTTTGTCATGGGCATGCTACTGCTTGGCCGACCCGTGGCGCGAGGCGAGCTTCTTGGCACCGGCATTGCGCTCGCAGGGACCGTCCTTCTGCTGCAAGACGTGCGCTCTGACGGCGAGGTGACCATCCCCGGTGATTTGGTGGCGTTCCTGGGAGCCGTCTTTTTCGTGGGCTACCTGTCATGTGGGAAAACGCTGCGACGATTCATGCCCGTATTCATCTACGCCTTCTCGGTGACATTTGTGTCGTCCGTCGTGCTCGGCTTCATTGCCATTCCGGCCGAAGACGTGTCGCTCTTTTCGGCTTCGCCTTCCGGCTCCTTTGGCTGGGCGGGGCTGGACTACTTGCCTGTAATCATCTATCTGTCGTTTGGTCCAGGCCTCGTCGGTCACACGGGCATCAACTACATTGTCAAGTTTCTTCCGCCGCTTGTCGTCTCCATTTCGTTCCTCACCGAGCCGCTCATCGGCACAGTGATTGGCATTGCCTTCGGCGAATCGAACGTCCCAGGCGCATGGACTTGGTGTGGCGGGCTTGTCCTGATGGTTGGCGTGGTGATGAACGTGACCACTGGGCATGCTCACAGCGTCCGGCAAGCCCAGCGACCCAAATCTCTCCCAAGCGGAATATCCAGCCATGCAATATCCATCGCTGTGAGTGATGGTCTCGAGTTCCAGCCTCTTCATGAAGAAGATGTTGAGCACGATGGCGAGTTTGAGCATTCGGACGCCGTCCCACCAGCAGAACAAGTCTCAGCGACTAAACCAAACCCTTGGTAGCTGGACAGTGACCGATGCCAATCATGGAACTGAACGCACAAATGAAAAGCGTTGAATGATACATTGTACAAAAATAACAGGCTGAAAAAAACAATCAAACAAAACAAACAAACAAACAATGTGACATATAAACTCGAAAGTCTCAAAAAAAACACCAAACCCCCTTTTAGGCCTTGAAATCGTTCATCATTTGCTTGACAACCATCACCGAATCACGAAGCTCGTCGCGACGCTTGCACTGGAATCGACGGGAACGGTAGCCGCGGCAGCGCTTGCGGAAGCGAGCAATATCGAGCATGAGGGCCTCAACCGCGGCTTCGTTCTGAGAATCGGGGCGAAGGCGAATCACGCGCGAGTGCTGCAGACCTTCAATCTTGACAAACTCGATAATCTTCCAGTTCTCAAACAGCACGAGGGCGTTCTGGAGGGTGTCTTTGCTGATTGCCTCGTACAGGTCGAGCTGGCCGTCAAAGTACAGCGTCTCGCCGAGCTGCTGGAGGCGCTTGAGAAAGACGTCTTCCTGCACAGTACGCCCTGGGAGCAGCGTGTACAAGCCAAGAGCGCAGAGCCAGTAGCTGTCAATGACGTGCCAAAACAGGGCACAGAGGAAGAGGTAGGTCGCGACACCGCCGTCCTTGGCTTCTTCGGCATCCAAATCCTCGCCATCCTCAGCCGTCTCAGTCATGTCACCAATGTAGCCCATGCTGTTGCGCTTGGACGACGGCTTTGAAATGGAGCTGGGCTTGAACATGGGGGACGGCGGCACCAGCGGAGTCGGCGACTTGCTGCCCAAGATCGGGAGCGTGGACTGCTGCGCAATCTGGCTGATCTGGGTGCCCGAGGGCGAACGGGTCAGATGGCTGCTATTATTGCTGCCCGACGAGGCAGGCTCGGTCGCTTCGTTCACGCAGAGCGCGCCGGTGGCCGTGTACGAGAGAATGCCGCGGCGAACCATGGCTCCGATCGTGTCGTCAAAGTTCTCAATGATACTGGGAGAGGGCTTGTAGATGAACTCGAGCTTGAGCAGATTGGTCACATAACGCACGAGGCTGAGCAAATCCTCGCGCGAGACACCGACCGGCTCCTTGCTGTTGCTGCTCGCCTTCTTCTCGTAAGCGTACATTGACAGGCAGACAAGGCCCTCGAGCACAAAGTGATGGATGAGTTGGTTTCTGTATGGGTGACAAGGGCAGACAGATGAGCACAAGAATTCCCGAAAAAAAAAAAGGACAGACGAGAACGAACGTACCGGTACAAGCTCAACTCCATGCGCTCCTTGGGCGAGTACAGACTGACCATCAGGCGATCCTTGTGACGCTTGACAAGCTTGTTTTTGCTCACAATGCTTTCGAGAACGAGGTTGACGACGAGATCAATGCTCTCGGGACCCAGAGCAACCGCATGGCCGCCTCGCGCAATAATCTTGCGCCGAACAATGTTGCTTTCGTGCAGCAGCTCGTCCCGGGAGATGCCTCGCTGGTAATGCGTGAGGAGCACGGTGGCAACCAAGGCAGCGGGCAGCACCATGGACACACGGTTGCACTCGTACATGACGCGATAGCCAAGAGCGTAGGCAATTTGGTTGACGGCACTGTAGTCCGGTTTGCCGCGAGCTTGTTGTTGTTGTTGCTGCTGTTGCTGTTGTTGTTGTTGCTGTTGTTGCTGTTGCTGTTGCTGCTCTAGGGTGCGACGCGCAAGCATGGCACGATGCTCTTCCGTCTGACTAAAAGCGTCCGCCAGAGACGTGGGCGGCGTCAACCTGCCAGGGTGCTGCAAATAATAGGTGCCGGTAAACGAGACAATCGAGATGGGCTCGGCCACGCGGATGTCCACGCTCCCGAACGAGTTGAAATCCATAAAGGCCATCGAGAGCAGCGAGCTGACCTTGCGAAGCGCCGGGAACAGCCGCTCGCTCTTTTTGCTTCCACCGGCGAGTTCGTCGATATGCGCGTCGTTTTCCACAATGCGGTCGTACGAGATGGAGATGGGCACGACGTAGGCGTCCTCCACCAAGCCGGACTGCACCGCGTCCAAAATGTAGCGAAGCACGCCGACCTTGGGCGGGAGCACTTTGCCCGAGCGGCTACGGCCTCCTTCAATAAAGCACTCGAACGTATGGCCTTGAGCGACGACCTGGCGAATGTACTCGCCAAACACAGCCGAGTAGAGCGGGTCCGAGTCCTTGGAGAAGGTGCGACGAATAAACATGGCGCCTCCCAGACGAAGCAGCGGCCCAATCAAGGGAATGTTGAGGTTGTCGCCTGCAACGACGTACGGGAGCGGCAAGCCATGCATAAAGCACATGTACGTGATCATGAGGTAGTCAATGTGGGATTTGTGCGTCGGGAGCAGCACAATCGAGTGGCCCATGCGGGAGATGGCCTTGATGCGCTCAATTTCGTCCTGCTCAAAGTGAATGCCGAACGGATAGAGCATGCGCCAAATCTTGTGCATCAGGTAGCAAAAGATGCTAATGATAAAGGCAGAGGGCTTGGCGGCCATGGCATCGAGAATGCGGTGGGCCTCTTGCTCGCGAGCCTTGCGCTGCTTTTTCTCTTGGTAATTCTCGGCGTCCTTGTTGCGCTTGCTGCGCAAAAGTGAGCGCATGCTGGCGGCAGACGAGCCAGTGGACGGCTTTTCGTCACGCTGGTTGAGCGCGTTCTGGACGGCCGCAGACGCCATCACGGCACGAACGATATCAGCGTGCGGGGTCTTGCTGGGTTTGCTGGAGGGGATGGAGGCGAACATGGCACGAGAGCGGGCAGCAGGAGCGGAGGCATTGGGAGCGAGCCAGCTTGGCAAGAACTGCGTCAGATAGGAGAAGGGTGAATTCGAAGTGACACCGAGCGCAGCGGTAAAGGCAGAGAACGTCAGGGGTTGGGAGGAAGGGTTGGCACCGCCGACGGGCGTGGATGAGCCTGTCGCCGATGCGGAGGCGGAAGGAGGCGACGACGACGACAACGACTCGTCCTCGCCGTTGTTGCTGCGACGCGGATGGTGCTGGGCATTGCCGCTGGAAGGCGAATCGCGGTAGGCGGTGGCAGCCCACGCAAAGTCTGGAAACACGTCCGAGATGATGGACGTGATGGTGCCCAGGATCCAGAGAATCAGCTGCCAGGGCGTCATGGCGCGCGGCTGAGGCTCTACGGCTGCGTCCAGTGCCGAGGACGAGGCAGAGGCGGACAGGGTGGATGAATTGGAGAGCGACCGCGCGCGGCGCAATGACTGGCCAATGGCAAGCTCGGGCGTTGTCGTCATTGACGTGACGGACGCCGAGTTTGAGCTTGAGCTGCTCGCCGTCGGAAAGCGGTAGGTCGCAGCGTCAAGGAAGGTGCCTGGTTGGCCAACAGCCGCAGCAGCAGCCTTTTGCGGGGTTGTCGATGCGGATGCATGGGGGCTTCGTGCGAGATTGGCGCGAGCGTGGCTTGATTTGGAATCGTCGTTGGCAATGGCGTGCAGCACGTTTGCGCCAGTGCTGCTGCTGCTCGAAGAGGAGGATGCGGGTGAAGAAGAGGATGAGGAGTCTGCGAGGTCTTGCGAGTGCGGTTGCGTGTAGTACCAGTGATCTGCTGCAACAACAGAAGAGAGTGAGAGAGATAGTGAGAGAGAGAGAATGAGAGTGAGAGAATGAGTGAGAGTGAGAGGGTTTGCCACTGAGCAACTGTGGTGAGACGTCCAAATCCTTTTCCCCACTTTCTTTTCATCCATAAAAACCCAACCCGAGAGTGAGAGTGAGAGTAAGAGTAAGACAGTAAGGAGGGGGGTTTGCCACTGAGCAACTGAGCGTGAGTCATCAAACTCCAATCAGTTTGACGGGCTTTGTCCTCGTGTTTCACCTTCACTTCAATACACTTCCATACAAAAGCACTCCACTCCTGCCACATCGCCACCTCATCCAACTTTGTGCTTTTTTCTTTGATCCTTTTTCTTCTACATCCTTGTTCTGAGTTTGGTGTTTTTCTTCTGTGGTGAAGCGGAGGGATGTTGCTCTTCTGTGGTTGAAAGTTGAAAGGGGGGGGGGAACGGAGGTAAACCAACTGAGCGATCGTTCTGTTTACATCCGTCCATCCATATCCATGCATTTGATTCAAACCCCTTCAAACCTTTCCATTCCTCCAAAATCCAACAATCTTCCATTCTCACAAATCTCATCATCAAGTTCCTCATCACAAAAAAGTCCAACCATCCAAAAGTCACATAAAATCGTGTTCGTCGTTTCCAATGCAAAATGGCTGCGAATTCCCTTTTTTTTTTTTTTTTTTTTTTTTTTTTTTTTTTTTTTTTTTTTTTTTTTTTTTTTTTTTTTTTTTTTTTCTGATGCCTTACCACCGTTGCTCTGCTGCTCGTCTTCCTCATCAGCAGCAGCAGCAGTAGTCGTATTGTGACGCTTGCCATTGTGATGCTGATTCAGCAGAGTGCCAGCCGTAGCAGAAGCAGTCTCAACGGAGCTTGGAGCACTGCCACTGTGACTGCTGTCGGAGGAGGCGGAAGAAGAAGAAGAAGACGTGTAATCACCGCCAAGCTGCTGCTGCTGCTGCTGCCCATGCTGATGCTCGCCTAGCCAAACCAAGAGAGAGAGACAGAGAGACAAACAGAGACAGAGAGAGTAAGCATTGGAATCCCATTGAAAGCGATGGTAGCTTTTCAATAGCTTTCAATAGATGAAAGTGAAGATTTCGCAGCGTTTCATTGCCATGTTGATCACTCCTTTAATCCACACTTCAAACTTGAAGCTGGGTTTCAAGTCATCGTAACATGCTGAATGAGATACGAGTGATTGTTTTTGAATGTGTGTGGTTTTTTACCGGGTGTTGCGAACGAATGGCGCGTCGTCGGGTGCGAATCGACGGTCGCAGACATTTTGGTGGTAAAATAGAACGAGTAAAGATGGACGACTGAACTGAGGTAGATGTTGAGATTGGGGAATACTATGATTATTGTTATGAGTGGTATGAAAGTGTAATGTGGGACACTTGAGCAAAAAGGAGAGAGATTGATTGGAACTGACTGAGAATCAGTGAATTCTGATGCGGACCCCTCCTGCATCAAGGTCCATCCGAGCAACAGAGACTGACTGACTGATTTGCACTGAGGTGGGTGAGATTGGGATTGAGGAATAGATCTGAGGGACACCGATGTGGACCTCTCAACGAGTCAAAGCTAATCATCACTTGACAAAGCACTGAGACACCAGCACAGCATCTTCCGCTTGACATCAAGGATCCAACGAAACAAGGATGCTACCAAACGATGGGCGATCGTCAGCAATGTCGTCAAGACACTCGAGGGCAAGGGTGACCATCTCCGTGATGCTCTGGCGCTCTGCGTCACTTGGTTTGAGTGCCGAGTCCAACATCTCCATGAATTTCTGGTTTTTCAGAGCTTTCCGTGTCTCTCCTTTCAGACGGTTGCTCGGTTTGACCGCGGTCAGCAATTCCAACAGAATCATGCCAAAGGCGTAAACGTCCGTCTTGATGGTCATGCGGCCTTCATCGAAGAAATCAGGACACATGTATGCAGCAGTGCCTTGCACGTTCTGAGTGCGAAGGTAGCTCCTCTCGTCGAGGTGTTGTGCAGCACGGACGAGACCAAAATCAGACACTTTTGCATTGAAGTGTGCGTCCAACAGAACGTTGTCCGTCTTGAGGTCGAGGTGGAACAGAACATGGTCAGGGAAGGCTGTTTGGACGTAGTGCATGCCGCGGGCAACATCAGCAGCGATGCGATGGCGCTGAGACCAGGTCAGCGGAGGAGTGTTGTTTTTTCTGCTGAGACGATCGCGCACAGAGCCGTTTGGCATGAACTCGTAGACCAGGCAGCGCTCGTCGCCTTCTTCTGCATACGACATAATGGCAATGATGTTTGCGTGACGGAATTTCGACAAAGAGTCCAGCTCTGACTTGAATTCGACCGTGCCTTGCTTGGATTCGGCGGATAGCTTTTTGATGGCAACACGAGGGCCAGGCAGACTTGCGCCGTACACACGACCAAATGCTCCTTCGCCGAGCAGAGAATCAGCAGCAAAGTTGTTCGTGGCGGCGACAAGAGTGGCGAGAGACACTTGTGGGATGGGTCCGTCAAAGTTCGAAAAAGATCCATCAGCTGGTTGGTTGCGCTCAAGTACGCCGATCCGATCAAGGGCTGACTGCAGATTAGAGCAAAGTTGTTGCAGCTCCTGGTCTTTGGTAGCGAGCTCCTGCTTGTTGGTTGCGAGGGCCTGGTCTTTGGCAGTGAGCTCCTGGGCTTTGACAGCAAGCTGTTGGTTTTTCGCAATGAGCTCCTGCTCTGTTGTTGCGAGCTTCTGGTCCTTGGCAGCGAGATCAATGCGAAGTTGTTGTAGTTCCTGATCTTTGGCAGCGAGCGCCTGATCCTTGGCAGCGAGACTTGAGCGAAGTTGTTGCAACTCCTGGTCTTTGGTAGCGAGCTCTTGCTTGTTGGTTGCGAGGGCCTGGTCTTTGGCAGTGAGCTCCTGGTCTTTGACAGCAAACCAACAGCTTTTCGCAATGAGCTCCTGCTCTGTTGTTGCGAGCTTCTGGTCCTTGGCAGCGAGATCGAAGCGAAGTTGTTGTAGTTCCTGATCTCTGGCAGCGAGCGCCTGATCTCTAGTAGCAAGCTCCTGCTTGTTGGTTGCGAGCTCCTGGTCTTTGATAACGAGTTCGGAGCGCAATTGCTGATGTTCAGCCTCAGCAATCGCTTGAGCTCCAACGTCGCCAATCTGATTCCAACTCAAACTGTCCATCCCTTCCTTCAGTGAGCACTCTTCTGAATCGCCCACTCTCATGCATCAGTCACTCCGAGATGACTTACAAGAGCTCAGTCACTGTATTGTTCACTTTGAGTGCCTCAGCAATCGCCTTCGCTTCTTCATCGCCAATCTGCCTCCTTTCCAGACTGACCATTCCCTCCATCCTCGTCAGCACGCACTCGCGCTGTCAACACTGTGTTCCAAATCAACTCGGGCTTTGATCTTACCTGAGCGTCCATTCGCATTCTTGACTTTGTCATACAACTGACGCTGTCTCTGATTCATATTCCGATATGACAGCATTTTGGAAGATCTTTGAAATCAAACACAGCTAAACAAACAAAAGACTGTAAAAGCGTGTTTTCGTGTTTCATCGTCAAAGTGAAGGGATGAAGTGACCATGCATTTGGATGAATTCTGAGAATCGAATCATCAAAACTGCCAAAACGCAGCTTTCGCGTGTTCCCTTCCGTTCTGATACGAACTGGGCTCATCCCAACTCGGTCTTCCCCTCATTCTTCACTATATTCTTAGTAAACGATACTTCCGCATACATTTCGTACGCTTCAGTAGTGATTCTAGGTTAAGTTCCGGGAAAGGTCGTAACACGGACACAGAGAAGAACGAGGGAGTAGCTCGCTCAGAGCTTATCATTCATCACTTAGGAATCAGAATCATGTGAAGTTGGACATTTGGTGAATGAGGAATCAGACCGCAAAGTGCTTTGCTCGGTAGATCGAACGAACGGGGAAAGAATTGTATTCACACAAACAGACAAGGAATTTGCAATCGAAAAACGGTCGATTTCAAACAAAGAGACAGCAGTGAATCACATGGCAACATGTAAGGGTGGCAAAGAAGAGAGAAGCAGAGGGGGAGCAACGACACGCGCAGCGCGACGAACCAGCACAGCAGCTCAGACAAAAAATCGGAAAAAAGCTGCTGCGCTCACCCCTCTCTCATTGAAACCCACAAGAGCAAGCAACAGAAAACGCAACAAAATCGGGCACATAAAACACGGCGGGACGATGCAACAAAACAAAGGGCGAGCTGTACACAAGCTTTGATGCGCTTTTTTTACCAAAGCGACTTGCCGGCAGTGCTCGTGTTCTTGCCAACTTGATAACGACCAGACTGGTTCTTTTGCTGCTCGGCAAAGGCCCACGCAGGCTGCTTTTCGTAGGTCGTCTTTGAAAGGCCGCACTCGACCACGTCCGAACGGCTATTCCAAAAAAAAAAAAAAAACAAAAAAAAAAAACCAAAGCCAGAAAAGTAAGAACACTTGCACAACCTCCAAGGCCCCCCATGACATTGCTGCCACACGCCCTTACCCGGAAGCATCAGTGTCGCGTTGGAAGGAAGACTGCTCGCTGCTGCGGGCATAACCGGACGAGACGGCATTCACCGACGGGCGGCCAGCGCGCGTTGGCGAAACGGCACGAGGAGTCGCGCCCGTGCGGGCTGCACTGTTGGACGTCGACCACGACGACGAAGAGGAGGAGGAAGAGGACGAAGACACGGGTCCGCCGTACTTTGGCTGTGAGGAGGAGGACGACGACGAGACGGGGCCGCCGTACTTTGGCTGCGAGCTCGAAGAGGAGGAAGACGAGGAAGACGAGAAGGAGGACGAGGACGCCGATGGACGAGAGTTGGCGGCACGCAAATCATCGACGGGAGCGCCGTAGCGAGGCTGTCCGTTCGACAGGTTGGCAGAAGCGGCCGACGGGGATGAGCGAGTCACGGACTTCAACGGCGGAGCCTGAGGCAAAAAAGCAGAGGGAAAAATGGGCAGAATTCACGAGATGAAAGGTGAGTGGTTGGCAGGCAGGGGTGAAAGTGAAAGGGAAGGGCTTGAAAGTGTTTCGCTCGTTCTTTGGATCAATCACTTCCACCTCCCGCCAACAAACACCAATCCAATGAAGACTCCAAATTGAACGAGGGTCCAATGGAACATCGACCGATCTCGACGTCAACTGAAAATTCAATCGAAATCGACCAGCAAGGAAAATCCAATCGAACTTGACTCGAACGGAACGTCTATTCAAGGCCAGCTTCAAGAGAGACTCCAGTGGAGCTTCGACTCCAATAGAACATCCATCTAACTTGGACTCCAATGGAGACTCCAATCGAGCTTGAGCTCCAATGCGAAATCCAATGGAAACTAGTGTTTCAATGGAAATGCAATGGAAATCCACTGCTCCACCACTCACCCACCCAATCATACAAGTCTCAAATTCCCCAATGCAATCATACATCCAACCACCATCCAATGGAACTGGTGTTGACTTTGAGCTTTGAGCGTTGAGCTTTGAGGCTTTGCTTACGGAAGAGCGCGAGTTGCTCGACCAGTCGCCGGTGCGCTGGACGCCCGGAACCGCGTCGTTGTGCTGGTAGTGCTTTGCCTTGCCCTTCTCAGCTGCAAGACAACAGAGACAGAGTTGATACAATGCGAGTTCAGTGAGATGCTCAGTCAGAATGGACCACACAAACCAAAAACCATCGAGTTAGCGGCAACAACAAGCAGCTCAAATTTTGATGCTTTTTTTCCATACAGAATGCCCAGCTGCACGGTTGCAATACAGAGTGAGGTTCGTTATATTGCAGTTGGGTCGGACAGCAGCGGGGCAGCGCAGGAGGTGGCAACAAGGGGGGGTCAGTCCAGTCAGCAGTAAGCAGTAAAGCATTGAAGAGTACCAGAAATGGAAGGAAGAGTTTCAAAAAAAAAACACAAAAAACCGCATAGAAAATCAGTATGAAACAAGAGTCAAGGAAAACGCAGACGAGTCAGTGAGCAAAACAGTATCCGAATTAAGTTTTAAACATTGTGCGGTTTTTTTTTTTGTTCTTTTTTTTTTTTTGTTATTCGAGGCGATTGCGTCAGGTACTCACTCGGGCTGCTCGCCGTAGGTCGTCTGGGTCAGGCCGCACTTGACCACGTTGGAATTGCCGCGAGACATGATTTGTTGTTGTATGAAAAACGAGATGTGAGCGAAAACAATGCAAATAAAAAAAAAAAAAGAGTGAAGAGTTTGTTCTGAGAAACGCGATTGCTAAGAAAATGGAATTGGAGTGGATATGGCAAGGAAAATAGCGGGAGATGATGTGACGCTCAATCACAACAGTGGAAATCGATTGAAAGCGCAAAAAAAAAAAAAACGAAACGAAACTCTCATTTCACTTGATCGAGCAAATGGCACTGTGACAGCGCTCTGCCCGTTTGTCCATTGCGTTTGAAGTCTTGCTCCAGTCATAAACAAAATGGGCCCGCCGCGCGAGGATGCACAGGCAATGGAAAGAAAACCGTCTTGAATTGCATTCATTCCGACAAACATCAAACACGCACACATCATGACGACTGCCGCAAGCTCGCCATTCGAGCCTCCAGAGAGCTCATGTCTGCAGAGCTGGACGAAGAAGCTTCGCCGACGGCGTGTCGTGGTGCGCTTGAAAGCTGAAATAAGAACAAGACAGGTTCAAGCCAGAACTTTGAGCGAAAAATGGACCCAGTCTCACCAGCACCATCATGAAAACATAGCACGAGCGTACCTTGGTGCTAATATCAATGCCAATCTCGTCAAGCACTTGGTTCATAATGTTGACGCTTTCTTCTTCGTCGGCATCGCCGTCCATGACTGAATCGATGGTGTCGTTCACTGGCAAGCGTAACGCCAACAGCAGCAAGCAAAAATCGTTGCAAAACGAGAGACGCGCGATGTCAGCATGGTTTCTAAAGCAAAACTTCAAACCAAAAAGCCAGAACAAATCAAACTCACTCATGTCCTCTTTCATGTCCATGGTCATGGATTGCTTCTCAAAGTCCTGCATCATGGCCTGCATCTGAGCCACGTCTATTTGTTTGTTCATGGATGACATGACCTGTGTGGACACAAACAGCCAGCCCTCAATTGAGCTCAAGCAGCAACAAAATGCGTTCGAGCAAAGTCGAAATTCTCAATCTCACCTTGGATGCACCGGCCATTGCGCCTGCCATTTTCATTTGCGAATGCATTGCCTACAACAGGATGAACACAGCACGGTCAGTACACCAGCCAACCTCGAGCTCGCTCGCTTGTGTTCTTCCTTACCGTGGTTTGTGCGCCAATCGACGAAACGCGCGCGCTCGTCGCGACTGACTTTGTCTTTGCAGCGCGGATTCGCACAAGTTGCTTTGCGAGGACTCTTGCTGCGTCGTCGTTGCCTTGCTTGGCCATCTTCTTGATCTCTGCGACCTATCCATAGCATCATAGTATCATAGGTTGAATGTAAAATGTTCAGTAAGCTTCAAAAGTCAGTCTTCCCACCAACGCCTCGACCAAGCCAGTTCGCAAATGCCAAAGCCGAATATCTGATATCAGTCTGATACGCCATTGAGCGGGGAGGGGAGTCGGGGAGGGGGTGAACTCGAGCTGATGACGTCAAGCTCGGTTTCAGTACAGCCAGCGAACCTCTTGCCCCACGAACGAACGAACGAACGAACGAGGCACCCATCGAGTGAGATGATGGAACACTTGCCAGTTGCTTCTCTTGCTTGTCGAGGTCGTTGCGGTCGCGCTCGAGGTCGCGTTGGGACCGCGCCATGTCGCGCTTGTTCTCGCGCAGAATCTCTATTGGGAAGAGTACAAGTTGACCAGTGAGCTCAACCTCGACTCACGCAATAGACCTCTGAGACCTATGAGATATGTTTGATGATGATGATGATGATGCTGATGGAAGAAGGAGGCGCACTGACCTTTGGTTGTTGGCTTGTGAAACAAACTCATTCGAAAACACTCAGAAAACAAAGAAGAACGAAAACAAAGAATGGACTGAGAATCTGAGAATCTGAGAATCTGATAAAATAGCAAAAGGTTTGGAACATCAAAAGTAACGCGTAACTCATCCGATCTGAATGAAAGTAAATCTTTGACTGAGAAGTGGAAGAGACAAGCAGGTAAAATTCAAAGCGAGCGTTTGTTGAAGCATTTTGAATGAGGCGGTTGTGACTATACCACTGAATCC